TTTACTTGTTTTTTCCCGAAATTATTGGATGTAACCCTACGAGAATTATTCAATCGGCGGAATGTCTGACTTTTAAATTGGAAATACATTAATTTTAATGTGGAAAGATTTTAGTCCAATTTTTTAACCCATTATCTTGAAGGATTTGAAGGATTTGATTTCAGATCAAAAAGGATAGTGATGTAGGGTATCACATGACCCACCAAAGCCGTTGCATACTTGTTTTTGGAATCACTTAACAATTCAATGAATGTTGAACGTTGTAAAACAAGAATTTCAAAAAATGTTATTTTATGTCTCATTTTATGTACTACATGGTTATTTGTCGATAAGATAGAAAACTGCAGCTCTGAACAAATTTACTCAACTACTTCATCAGAATCAAAACAAAAATTGTGTGTTCTCTGTATTGGGAGAGTGTTTCATAACACTAAACTGTCGAACAGAAAATATAACAGACACATGTATATATGTATCTACATGTTATGATGCCAAGTTACGAAGAACATTTTTCTGAGGAACTTTATCAGAGAGATTTTGATTCAGAGTTTCATGACATATAAGTCTAATTAGATTTTTGGCAAAACGTAACAAAATATTGCAATTTTTGAACTAAAAATCTATTGTTTTATTTTTTTTTATTTTTTGGAATGCGAAATTTAAATCATCACTCAATGGACCATAAATGCTTAACTATAGTGAGAATAATACTGAGAAAACTTTTGGTGGCAAAGATTCCTATTACTCAGATAATCAAAAAATGTCCTTGTATAAATTGTGACGTTTCAATTCATTTGTTAGTTGTCATTTTAAAAATTGCAACAACTATTGTAGAATCCTGAATGAAAATGTAAATTTTTCGTTTATTTTCTCCGCGACGACGAAATTAATTCGAACCAGTAAGGAAAGCTCAAAAGTCGGGCGGGGCCGACTATATGATACCCTACACCACTATGCATATTTAGTAGAGCTCTCGTAAAAAGGTTTATACAGGGCATTTCAGAGCTCTATGAGATATTTGGTACAAAATCAAAATCTATCTAATTCTATCGTGCATTTTACGAACTATAGCTATCTCTGAACCGGGTTTCTTCAAATTTGACGTATTAGCTTCTACACTGAATTCGGTCTTATGTACGAAAATTCATGCCATTTGGGCTGATATTGGCCATTTGATGCACAATTAACACGAAATCGGATGAAGATATATATGGGAGCTATAGCTATATCTGAACTGATTTTTACTAAAATTGGTGTACTTGCTTCTAAGCTGGTTTCGGTCGGATTTGCAAAAATTGATGCTATTACGGCCATTTGGTGGTCAATCACCCGAAATCGGATGAAGATATATATGGGAGCTATATCCAAATCTGAACCGATTTCGGTAAAATTTAAAACAGCTATTCCTGCGCTCCATCTAATACCTGGTACCAAATATCACGGTTGTGGAGTGAATATTACGAATGTAAGGGACTAAAACACTAAATCGGATGAAACATATATATGGCTGCTATATCTATATCTGAACCGATTTTCACTAAATTTGATATACTTGCTTCTAGGCTGAATTTGGTCCGATGTACTAAAATTGAGTCCATTTGGACTTATATCGCCCATTTGGTGCACAATTAACCCAAAATCGGATGAAGATATATATGGGAGCTATATCCAAATCTGAACCGATTTCGATAAAATTACAAACAGCTATTTCTGGGCTGTATCTTTTATCTGGTACCAAATATCATTCTTGTGGAGTGCATATTACGAATGTGAGAGGCTTAAACACCAAATCGGATAAAACATATATATGGGAGCTATAGCTGTTTCTGAACCGATTTTCTCCAAATTTGTTGTATTTGCTTTAAGGCTAATATCGGTCACATGTGCCAAAATTCGGGCCATTTGGGCTGATATTGGCCATTTGGTGGGCAATTAACCCGAAATCGGATGAAGATATATATGGTAGCTATATCCAAATCTGAACCGATTTCGATAAAATTTAAAACAACTATTTCTGTGCTCCATCTAATACCTGGTACCAAATATCACGGTTGTGGAGTGCATAGTAGGAATGTGAGGGACTTAAAGATCAAATCGGATGAAAGATATATATGGGAGCTATAGCTATATCTGAACCGATTTTCTCCAAATTTGATATACTTGCTTCTAGGCCGAACTCGGTTGGGTGTGCCAAAATTCAGGTAATTTGGACTGATAGTGGACATTTGGTGCACATTTAACCCGAAATCGGATGAAGATATATATGGGAGCTATATCAAAATTTGATCCGATTATCTCCAATTTCAATAGGGTTCGTCCTTGGGCCAAACAAATGTTGGTTGCAAAATTTCATCTCAATCGGATAATAAATGCGACCTGCATTTTGTTCACAAGAATACATGGACAGACGGACGGACGGACGGACGGACGGACGGACGGACGGACGGACGGACGGACAGACGGACTGACATGCATAAATCGACTCAAAAAGTGATTCTATGAAGGTTCTCAAAAGTAACTATGTGTCTATCTCGTTTCCTTCTCCATGTTACAAACAAATGCACAAAGACATAATACCCTTACCACTATGTGGTGTAGGGTATAAAAATGGACCCGTGAATTGGACTGCGCGTTCGTGTGATTTGACGAAGACGATTTTTTTTGTGGAGATACCTGAGGTCAGTTGCCAGCAACGATTGACGCTTTGGAAACCAATATTCAACATGACAGCCATATGACTAGAGAGGGTATATATCATTTGATACGGCCAAAACGTACCTCATCAAAATAACAATTTTAGACCTTAGGTCTCTTTGAACCAAATCCGTTTCTGGACATTTGGAGTTGATCTACCGATGTCTGCTCTTCTGTCTGGCTGATGTTCACGATAACTCTCGAAGGGAATATCCGATTGGGTCCAAATTTAATACATTGTAGTATTATTATCAAACTTAGATCGAGTTCCGAGATGGCCAATATCGGTTAACTCCTTCAGGTACCTCCCCCACCAGAGGTCAAAATTTTTAAAAATAATAATTCACTGCACAGTCCGCTTTTGCTCCAATCCTAATATTTTTATGCTGCTAATGGACTCTTAGACTCTCAGAAAATGTGATATTAGAGTCCGATTGCCTTCAAACTAAACACATCACAATACTTTTATTAACCCAATGTCTGGAGTGATGATGGAATATATCGGTCAACTCATTCTGATACCTCCGCCGCGGAATTTTTGGTTCGGGAGCTCCACTAAATACGCATAGTCGTGTAGGGTACATGAATTGTAATCACTCTACAGGTCGCAATTATTACCCGATCTTCACGAAATTTAGAATGGAGGTTGGGCTATGGTCGGTATAGAACCCTATTTCTTGTGCAGATGATCTCATAATATTTAGTCGAAATTAAGAAATTTTCTTGAAATTAATTTTTATACCCTACAACACTATGTGTTGGGGGTATTATAAGTTTGATTGGGCCAAAAATTATGTAACACCTCGAAATAATGGTTTCCGACATAGGGATCTATATATGGATCTTCCTATCTCGCCGAGCTGAGTCGATTTAGCTATATATGTCCGTCCGTCCGCCTGTCCATGTTAATTTGTAATCACGCTACAGGTCGCGATTGTGACTTGATCCTCACGAAATTGAAATGGGGGTGGAGTTGGGCCTATCGTGTTTGAAAATGGACCAAAAAATTAAAATTTTCCTGATTTTGAAGTCGCACTACAGGTCACAATGAAAAACCAATCGACACGGCATTTTAAATAAGAAAATAGTGAAGTACAGGGAAGAATTCTTGGATGACCATTGGATTATATTTAGCTGTAAAATGGACCACAACTTTCGTGTGAAATTATTTTGAATACCTAACAACACGACGGAGTGCGTAAATATTCTGAAAATGGCCCCGGTCAAAACAGCTAAGGGTAGGGCTCTATAACATCATATTAAAAACGAAATCGCACTATAGGTCACAATGAAAAACCAATCGACACGGAATTTTAAATAAGAAAATAGTGAAGTACAGGGAAGAATTCTTGGATGACCATTGGATTATATTTAGCTGTAAAATGGACCACAACTTTCGTGTGAAATTATTTTGAATTCCTAACAACACGACGGAGTGCGTAAATATTCTGGAAATGGCCCCGGTCAAAACAGCTAAGGGTAGGGCTCTATAACATCATATTAAAAACGAAATCTTCCAAAATGGATTTGGACATAAGGTGCCTTTCAACATATTGTAGTGTTGTAGGGTATCACATGGTCGGTCCCGCTCGGCGATGGACTTTGCTTACTTGTTTAAAAATAATTTCAATACATTAGGAAACAATATTCTTGCATTTATGATAAAATATTATATTGAATTTTTGACTCATATTGCGTGCTATGTTTTCGAAACTAATACGCATTTAACACTGAGAGTAGTGGTGTAGGGTGTGTCATGGCCGATCTATACTACTATAACCTTTGCTTACTCACTTTTGTTTTTCTAACTTACTCACAAGTAATTTTGTTTTGAAAATTTCGATGAACTTTCATTTCATCCTTGGTTCCTTATCAAGAAAACTGATAATAATGATAAAAATGACATGCCATGAATCATTCAAATTTTTGATACCAAATCTATTAAAGTTATATCGAAATTCTTTGATCTTAAAAGAGGATAAATTAATATTTTTCAATGATGCTGGAAACTGTCTGTTCACTGCTCATTTTGAAGTGGGAAACTAGTATATTCATGGAAACTATTTTACGTTCATATAAACTGATAACATGTAATTTATTCCGAAAAATGTATGACTCCATTATCTTGCAATGCATCCAATTGTTATCTATGTTTGTTATAAAGTCATAAAATCTTGGAAGCTATAATTAGTCCATTTTTGCTATCAACGCTCATTGTGTTGATTGATTTCCAATCATTGTTATCTATTTGTTTTGGGAAATGCACGAAAAGATACGAAAAAAGTCTATAAAAGTTCACATTTTGTTCAAAACGCAAATTATTTGAGAAAAACACAAAACGAAACAGATTTGGGCGATAGTTAAACAACTCGGAAGAATATGTCGAAAGTTCTTGTGTTGACAGTGGTCTGGTGTATGCTGTGTCTTGCCGCTGGTGAAACGTTTGACGAATGCGAGGGTGCGGAGCCGGGCACATATGTGGCTAGTTCACAAAGTTGTTCTGCCTTTATTTATTGTGACGGTGAAGATTCTATCTTGGACGAATGCGAAGAAGGTCTTTATTTTGATGGCGAGGAATGTGATGATAAGGATAATGTGGAATGTCCACTGGACAATGCAAATGGCGGTGATGGTGATGGTGACGGGGAGGAGGGTGGAGATGGAGATGGAGAAGAAGACCCAGAAGAAACACCGGAAGCACCAGCGCCACAACCAAGTGTAACTAAACCACCGCCGGTTACAACTGCTGCAACGAGCGCACCCACAACACCAATCGACAGTACACCGGAAATCATTGACGTTCCTCCCATAGTGAGGGATACATGTCCACCAAATGATGATCCAAATCAGATTGTCCTCATTGGGAACAGTAACTCCTGTTCGGATTATTATGTCTGTTATCACGGAAATGCCATTGCTATGCATTGTATGGATCATCTTCACTTCAATGCAGCCTCGGGCAAATGCGACTTCCCTGAGAATGCAAATTGCAAGGTAAGTTTAGTGTGCTCTCCTTCTATTACTCAAATGATATTATTTCCACTTACATTTCGCCGAAACAGTTGGCAGTGCAAACCCCCACAGAATTCAACAAATGCTTGCCGCACATGTCAGAGTTCTTCCCACATCCCACAAAGTGTAACTACTTTTACTACTGCATCAAAGGATATCAGACGTTGCAACAGTGCCCCTTCTACTATGGCTGGGATTTTGAGAAACGGACGTGTATTCGTATGTCACAAGCCAAGTGCTACAATGGCAGTTCATAACCCATTCACATGTCAGCCGCACATGTTGCTGTTTGCATTTTTAATTAGATTGTAGAGTTTTTATATTGAATTAGGGTCTAATAAAATGAAGCTTTTCTAGATGGAAGGAAATAGAATTTACGGAATCACCGAGAGAAGGGTAAGGCAACGGAACATATTTATTTAATAATTAATTTTAGTATTGTTGGCGTTTATTCAGGATATGGTGTTCATGTTGTTATTTCAAAATAGTTGGGCTTCATCTTATTGTTTTTCATACACTTCACTATATTAAATTCCATTCCATTTGTAACTTATCGAAATAATCATTTAAGACCCCACAAAGTATTTATTCGTAATCAGCATATAATTCTAATGGATCGACCTAGACGACTAAAATTTTGGTCATATACATATTATGTCTTATATTTCTTTGGGTTATATTCGGTGTTTTGACGACTGCATCCACATTTTTCTAAAGAATTGTCTAAAATTTGATATTTTAAACCAACAATAGATATTAATGCCTGAAAATGTTCCTATCACTCGCCGTTTGGACTCTGGGGTGATTAAAATAGATGGACGAATGAACATTGCTAAAACGATTTAGAATTTTAAACATTTATTGTTTATCAAGGTGTATATGCGGGAACACCAAGCATGCGATAAGAACCAAAACTCTTCATAAGCCTTATATGGGGGTAATCTACCCAGGATATATTTATTTTCTAATATTTTTCGTAAAACAATCTGTTATTTGTTTTTGAGGGTTCTGGCGAATATGATTTACAGTTTTTGGCATATATGTATGCTAACCTACCGCTGGCTATGATTCCGTTTCTAACTAAAAACCAGTATAGAAAGTCTTAAAGTCGGGCAGGGCCGACTTTACGATACCCTACACCACTTTGCTAATTTAGTAGAGCTGCGCATAACAATTAAAAGTTTTTATGGGAGAATTCAATAATACACCCTATTATTATAATTATAATTTAAAATTCAAAGAACTAAATATGCCGAAGCATTTGTATCTTTTAAATTCGGACTAGTATTGCCCATTTGGTGCACAATTAATTTTAAATCGGATAAAAATATATATGGGAGCTATATCCAAATCGGAACCGATCTCGATAATATTTGGCAAAGATATTTCTGAGCTGTATTTGATATATTTCCCTGAATTTCGTTGTTACGGAGTGCATATTACGGCTGTGGGTAACAAATATAACAAATCGTGTGAACAATATATATGGGAGCTATAGCTATATCTGGACCGATCTTCACCAAATTTGGCATACTAGCTTCTAGACTCGTATTCGTATGTGCCAAATTCCATCCCATTTGGACAAATATTAGACGTTTGGTGCACAATAAAAGGTAAATCGGACGAAGTTATATATGGGAGCTATATCCAAATCTGAACAGTTCTTGATAAAATTTAGCAAAGGTATTTCTGAGCTGTATTTGATAAATTTCCCCAAATAGTGTTGTTACAGAGTGCATTTTAAGGTTGCGGAGGAAAAAAATAACAAATCGGATGAACAATATATATGGGAGCTATAGCTATATCTGAACCGATTTCGATCAAATTTGGCATATTTATTTTGAGGTCCAATCGTACGTGCAATATTCCATACTCGGACTGATATTACACGTTTTGTGCACAAGAAAAGGCAAATCGGACGAAGTTATATATGGGTACTATATCCAAATCTGAACCGATCTCGATAAAATTTAGCAAAGGTATTTCTGAGCTGCATTTGATATATTTCCCCAATTATTGTTGTTACAGAGTGCATATTACGGCTGCGGAGGACAAAAATAACAAATCGGATGAACAATATATATGGGAGCTATAGCTACATCTGAACCGATTTCGATAAAATTTGGCATACTTATTTTCAGGCCTAATTTGGTTGTATGTGCAAAATTCCATACTATTCAGGCTGATATTACACGTTTGGTGCACAATAAAAGGCAAATCGGACGAAGATATATATGGGAGCTATATCTAAATTTTTGCCGATTATCTCCAATTTCAATAGGGTTCGTCCTTGGGCCAAACAAATGATTTGTGCAAAATTTCATCTGGATGGAGCAATAAATGCGACTTGTACTTTGTTTACAAAAATACATGGACAGACGGACGGACAGACTAAAGGACGGACATGCATAAATCGATTCAGAATGTGATTCTATGCAGATCATCAAAAGGAACTTTGGGTCTATCTCGTTTCCTTTTGCCTGTTACAAAGAAATGCACAAAGACATAATACCCTGACCACCTTGTGGTGTAGGGTATAGCAACGCTTTTTTTTAATTTTTCTGAATGTTTCCTTCTACCATACAAAAAATCTAAAATCGAATTTCCTTATATTATCATGGACAAGACATGCGTCCTGAAAGAATGACCCAACATTGTCCATTTCGTACCTGATATAAATGTTGCAACGTGTTAGATTCGGCCTATAATATATTGGGATACGAACATTTCTTCCAATCTTATGTTAATAACGATTTTTATTGTTAGTAAACATTTTAACCTAAGAAGAAGTGAACCGATAAATTCTATATTCACATCAGATCTCTGACTTAGAAAAATATTTAGATATACCAATTTTGAAAAGAATCGCTGACTTGTTTCGCAAGAGAGGTATCAGAAGGTGTTTATCGATATATATCCTCTTCACAGCAGATCTTGTGTGAGTAAATATTTTGGAATGTGTGACATTTGAAGATAATCTGGTGTTTATTTAACATTTTATGAGCATTTCGTTATTCAAAATGTTTGCCACTTATCTCTTTACACCAGACCTTGTGTTAGTAAAAATATTTGGATGTGTGAAATTTGAAGATAATGCGATACATACTTATTTCGCATTTTATTAGTGTAATAATTATTGAAAAAATTGATCTTGTGTTGTCGGAAATATTGAGACTTGCGAAAGTTGAGGACAATCGGACTCTTGTTTCATATTTTATTAAAATAATAATTCTTCAAAATTTTGACCTTTTCTGGGGCAAGTACTTGTTGAAGTGGTATTGTCCATTTTCGCACTTTCAAAACATCCCTACATCGTCTCCAATTGTCCTGAAACGGATTTGGTCTAAAGAGACTTAGAGGTCACAGACATTGCCCGATAGAGATGTATTTTGGCCATTCCCGGCGAAGCGCTTGCTTGAGATGATCGGCACTTTGGTATATTTAGTGCCAACCTTGCTTTCTAAAATCCTCCAGACACAATAGTCCAACGGGTTGGCATCCGGAGATTTTGGTGGCCATTGTGCGCTAAAAATGAAGCGAGGAACCTCATTTTGTAACTATTATTGGGTGTCGCGTGTTGAGTCCTGTTGGAATGTCCAAGGTCTGAGGTCAAAATGTTTCCGTGCCCAAGGCTTTAATACACCCTCCCATTAATACGAGCGGAGAGCGAACATCGGCTGTTATGGCGGTCCACACCATCACCATGGTGGGCGCTTGAGTTCTGGTGGCCAACCGAAGATGCACATTTTCAGCTGACCTCTTTGGCAAGTAAACACTATCATTTTGTTTGTTTACAAACTGCTGGACAACGAATGTTTTCTCATCGGAGAAGATCAAATTCGGCAGTTCACCACTTTCGGCCAAGCGGAGCAACTCTTTAGCTTTTTGGAGTCTATTTTCTTTCTGTTGCGGTGTAAGTTCTTGCACTTTTTGGAATTTCAATGGCTTTACCCCGAGTTCATTTTTCAATATTTGCCGAATGGAAAATTGCGATATTTTCAGCTCACGAGCCATTTTTCGGCCGCTGCGACGCGGGTTTCGATCAAGTCGCTTCTTTACTTTTCGAAGCATTTCTGCTGATGTTGCTGTTTTCTTCCGTCCACTTCCTTGGCGTCGGGCTACCCCACCAGTATCACGGTAACGAGCGATGGTACGAGACACAAAAGATTTATTTGCATTAAAATTCTGGAGTGCTCTAACGATAACCACTTGTGGTTTTCCAGCCAAATATAAAGAAATCACACTATCACGCTTGAATTCCATCACGAATAACTTTTTTTCTGAATAATTCTCACCAAAATGCTTTTGTACGCTTGTAAACAATATAAGAAGCTGTCACTGGAATAATTTTAACAGCTGTCGGACGAGTGGCTTAGAAATGACAGCAGCCTGAAGTTGGTTGCAGTTTTTTCATCTCACCCTGTACATCTAGAATGCGTCTCTTAGACAAAAATTTATTATAATTGAAGAAAAATATTTAATATACATTGTATCACAATAATAATACGTGATTCAACCCATAGCAAAACAATGTATACATTGAAACTGATTCCACCCATGTTAAATTCCATTAAAAATTGTTGAAGGCTGTAAAAAATATCCAAAAAAATTACTACACTCCAGGCGAGAGAATAAATTTTAAACGAAGTGTTTTCTTATTCCATTTTTGTGTGTGTATGGGTGGGACAAGCACGTAGCTATTATGTTGGCCAAATGTCAACAATATATTCAAGGACACTTTTTGCACTAATGGCCTTATTAAAATTGTGACAGCGGTAAATATTTATATCCCGATCACGAACGTTTATTTTAGTTGGCATGTCGGACAGTTTACGCACGTACATACAAACGATTGTGCCGTCATAAAATGTAACGATTATTTCGCTTATATTATTGTCATCCTTAAGGAAACGGAGACCACAAAATAAAAAGCAAAATGAATAAAATCATGGGGTCCATTTAAGAATGTGACAACAGCTTTATGTTCTAATTAATTCTGAATTTAAAAAAATGTACTTGTTTCTTTATTTGTATGAGATCAAAGATGCGATAAAAAATATTTTAGGGTTTTAAGAGACTTTGAAAATATAAACCAAGGCACATTGCATACGAAAATACGGAGGGTGAATTTACTATTAGTATCGTATTTAGGGGTTTAAAAATGGATTATATCGGATTATGATTTGATGTTTGAGGTTGCACGATAACTCTGTGCAAATAAATTTTGAACTCGATGCACGTTTTCGCATATAAGGGCACCGCCCGATTCCAGGCATGTTGAAGGTTTCGACCAAGTGTGGCAAGCCTATACAAAAATGGCTATATTTAAAAGTGGAAAAAATGTGGACCTATGCGACTACGCGACGCGTGTAAAATGTAGTCCATAACAGACCAAGACTGATCCGAAGCTAACCCAAATTTATTG